CCCCCACCTCCTGTTAAAGCAATTTTCCTGCCTCAGTCTCCCGGTAGCTAGGATTACAGGCGCCCACCACCACACCCGACTAATTTTTGTATTTTTAGTAGACACGAGGTTTCACCGTGTTGGCCAGGCTGGTCTCAAACTCCCGACCTCAGGTGATCCTTCCACCTCGGCCTCCGTAAGTGCTGGGATTCCAGGTGTGAGCCACCATGCTCAGCCTAGTTCAGTTCTCTTTGAACACTGGGGTGTGTAGCATACTCCGGTGGTTCTTTTCTAAGAGGACGAAGTCTGCCAATCAAACCCCCAAGGATCTGGAAACCATGCAGCAGTGGACTCAGCTCCCTCTTTTGTAGCAGTCCTAGAACACTTCTGTCCTATGCGTCTGGATGTTTGAGCTCTCTTGTCTAGCTTGTTCATTTCCCAGTGGGGAAGCTGAGGCGGTAAGGAGGTCAAGTTCTGCTTGTTGGAGGCTCCCTGTGCAGCTGGGGGAGTTGCACTGGCAGAGCTGCGTCCCAGTAAGTTCCCCGTCTGTGAGAATGAGCTGTTGGTGGGGTTGTGTGGGGGAGAGTAAGGTAATGCTCTCCATCAGCTGTAGCCTAGTCCTTCACAGGATTGCCTGGCTGGCCACACTTCTTAGAGACTAATTGCCTGTTCTCTAAATGGTGGAACATTCAGGAAGTTCTTCAGTGGGCTTATGAGAAATAGCAAAGCTAAAAGCCTGTCCAACCCAATGGGGCTGAGTCTGCGGATTTTTCTTTGCAGAGTTTATAGAGCGGCAGCACGCAAAGAACAGGTATTACTACTACCACCGGCAGTACCGCCGTGTGCCAGACATCACGGAGTGCAAGGAGAATGATGTTTTGTGCATGTATGAAGCCGAGATGCAGTGGAGGAGGGACTAGTACGTAAACTGGGAGTGTGACCTGCACCATGTGTGCTGCCGGGCCAGGGGTCCCTGGGATGCCACAGGGTGGCCTCAGCCACCCAAAATATGTCCAGATATCAGGGGTGACATGGGAGGAGTCAGACCCCAAGATCTTGCTTTCAACTTTTCTTCCTGGGTACAGAGAAAGGATTCTTTGTGAATAGCCTCTCTTGCTCCCTTTCTTCCCCAGTAAAGTTGATCAAGAAATTGTCAACATCATCCAGGAACGGCTCAAGGCCTGTCAGCAGAGGGAGGGACAAAACTACAAGCAGAACTGTACCAAGGAAGTGGAGCTGTTCACCCAGGTGGCCAAGGCCTACCAGGATCGCTGTGAGTGACCCCCCTCCTTCTGTGGTCAGTGTCACTGCCCAAGGCCTCCCGAGGCCGGGGGCCAGAGCCACTGCAAATCCAGCCCTCTCCCTTCTGCCCACTTGAATTTGCTCCATTTGCATATAGCACAGGCCTGGGTTCCCAGCTTGTTTCCATTGCTTTCCCAGATCAGGACCTGGGGGGCTTCGGTTCTGCCAGGAAATGCCTGGCCAAACAGAAGCAGAGGATGCTGGAAGAGAGAAAAGCTGCAAAAGCAGCCGCTGCTGCCACCTCCTGAGGCAGCTGTGGGTACCCCGTGATGCGGTTCTGTATAATTGTGCTATTGCTGAAATAAAGCCCCTCAACATGTTTCTAGTATGATCTCTTGGTCCCACCTTCCGGATTCAAACCACCACTAAACTTGCAGGACACAGAAAAAATGCAATGTTAATTCACTTTATTTTTCTTGTATAAAAACCCTATGTTGTAGCCACAGCTGGAGCTTGGGTCCTCTGCACAGAGACTCTGGTGTGGGTCTTGACGAGGTGGTCCGTGAATTCCTAAAACACAAGACATGACGTTGTTGGGGCCTGTGCTTGTCTAGGCAGTGGCCAGCCCCACCCCACCCCACCAGGCAGTACCTGATAGGGAGACTTGGTGAATACAGTCTCCTTCCACAGATCGGGGGTCAGGTAGCTGTAAGTCTTAGAGATGGCATCAAATGTGGCCTTGGCTGGACAACAAAAGAACCCCAGGAAGATTAGTAGTGTGCTTGGGGCAAGACCCCTAACCCAAAAATTGTCGCACTCCTAGGAACAGAGAGGCCATTCTGGGCGGGTCTGTCGTGCATTAGGAGAGCCTTTCTCTGCCTCCCTGAAAACACGCCAAGCACACACTGGACCCGTGTGATTAAGCGGAGCTGAGAGGCTGTGACTATGCCCACGCGTGGGTCACCTACCGAAGTTGCCCAAGGTAGCAGTGCAGCCCCTAGCTGAGGTGTAGCAGTCATCGATACCAGCCATCATAAGCAGCTTCTTGGGCACAGGTGCTGAGACAATGCCAGTGCCCCTGGGCGCAGGGATGAGGCGCACCAGCACAGAGCC